AAAACCCAGGGTTAATTGGTGGTAGTTAAAGGGTGAAAAGCCGGAGTTATTCAAAAGGACCCTTTTGGAGGAAGGGATTTAGGAGTTGCAGGGAAATACAAACATGCTGTGGGAAGAGATAACTATAAGGGTTCATATGGTAGCTAAAGCGCTTTTGGGAGAATCCAAAGGTCATGGTTAGAGAGATAAGGAGACTTGGTGGTGGGATAAGAGTGTGCAAGAGAAAGTTAGATAGAAAAGAGATTGCTTTAAGGCCATACATTTGTGCGATAGTGTAGAAAACAAAGAAAAGTATCGTTTAGCTAAAAAAGAGACAAAGAGAGCAAGCGAAGCATTACTAAGCTTATGAGGGGTTTTATCAGAGACGGGAGAAAGAAATATTTACAAGATTACAAAACAAAGGGAGAGAAAAAAGAAAGATCTGGACCAAGTGAAATGTATAAAGGATGAATATGATAAAGTGCTAGTTACTAATGGTGATATTAAGAATAGATGGGAGGCTTACTTTTACAAGTTGTTTAACGAGAGAAGTGATTATGTGACTTAGGATTTACAGGACTTACTAATTAACGAAGATGATTAGAATTTGGCTTTTTATTGTAGGATCAGCATCAGAGAGGTTAAGGCAGGTCTCAAGAAAATGGACAATGGTAAAGTTGTCGGGCCTGATAGTATTCCTATTGAAGTTTGGAAATATTTGGATAATGAGGGTGAATTGTGGCTAACCAAGCTTTTTAATGAAATTTTACGCTTTAAGAATATGCTAGATGATTGGAGGAGAAGTATTTTAGTTCCTATTTACAAGAATAAATGTGACATTTAAAACTATGCAAGCTATAGAGAGATAAAACATATGAGTCATACAATGAAGTTGTGTGAAAAAGTGATTGAATATAGGTTGAGGTGGGAGGTTTCTATTTCAGAGAACCAATTTGGATTTATGTCGGGGAGATCCACAACTGAAGTAATCGATTCACTAAGGGGGTTAATGGAAAGATATAGGAGTAAAAGAAGGGATTTACATATGGTTTTTATTGACATGGAAAAAGCTTATGATCGTGTGCCAAGAGAAGTACTATGGAAGGCTTTGGAAAAGAAAGGTGTACGGGTTGCTTATATTAAAGCCACACAACATATGTATGAAGGGGTAACTATTAGTGTAAGAATGCCTGGAGGTGAGACAAAGGACTTACCCATTAAGATTGGTCTACATTAGAAATCTTTTTTGAGTCCTTACTTGTTTAATATTGTTCTGGACATTCTAACTAAACTTATTCAAGAAAAAATCCTTAAGTCCATGCTCTTCTCGGATGACATAGTTCTCATGACGGAATCAAAAGAAGAGATTAATCTAGATTGGAGTTATGGAGAAGGACTTTGGAGTCGAAAGGTTTTCGCTTGAGTAAGAACAAAACAGAATATATGTATTGTAATTTTGGGACGAGGCAAGGCAATGGTGATTTAGAGGTGAAAATGGGGGATCAAAATTTTTCTCAAGTATCAAAGTTTAAATAACTAGGATCCATTATACATGACGATGGGGAAATTGATGGAGATGTTTCTTATAAAATATAAGCTGGCTGGTTAAAGTGTAGGAAGGCTACTAGAGTTATTTGCGATAAGAAGATACCTGAGAAGCTTAAGGGAAAATTTTATTAGACTGCTATAAGACTAGTTATGTTGTACAATAATGAATGTTGGGCAATAAAGGGAAAGCAAGAGCACAAAGTTAGGGTAGCATAAATGAGAATGTTGAGATGGATGTGTAGTAATACAAAAAAAGATAAGATTTGAAATGAAAATATCAGAGCAAGAGTCGGTATGGTACCTATCTAAGAGAAAATGGTTGAAAATTGCTTAAGAAAGTTTGGACATGTGCAGAGAAGGCCATTAGAGGCCTCGGTGAGAAGGATAGATCAGACAATATGGAGTCCCATAAAAAGGGACAGAGGAAGATCGAGAAGAACGCTCAATGAAGTCATTAAACGAGACCTCTTGGTCAACAATATATTTAAGGAACGAGTTGTTGACAGAGCATGATAGCATAGTGTGACTCATGTAGCTGACTCAACCTAGTAGGATAAGGCTTGTTGTTGTTGATTTTTGATTTCCACATACTTAAGAAATTAGAAATGAAGACAATTACATGCTAAATATCGATCACAAAAGGGAGGCCCTTTTTTTTTGGGCACATTCCTTTGATTTTCTTTATCTCTGGTCATTGAAATAATGGCTTCTCTATTTACTTTAACACTCATTATAATTCTATTTCTCTGAAGGAGGGTGGGGGGATGCATTGCATCATGAGAGGGGAAACTGAATTTGTATGTCGCAGCATTACATTAAGAGACCGAATAACCATCAAAGATGTAATCTTTCGAAGACATCAGCCCATTATTAGCAAATGATCAGGTAATGATCAACACTTATTATGTAGATGAAAAATAATTCAATGACAAGTAACAAGAAAAGAACACAACATAACTCGGTTAGATTCTCATTATGAGAAACTAATCTTATTCAGTGAAAATAGGGAAAGCTGCAATCCACAAGAGTCCAGTAACTTGGTCAGCCCAAAATTGATACCCATAGCTACCAATCCTCCAGACACAACCCTCACATATGATCTCAAAATGGGACTTTTTCCCAACACAGACCCCACACCCCCAAACACTGTCAAAGCCAATGAAGCCACAATGACAACCACCATTACCCTTATCTTGCAAACGCTGCTCGAATTCGATTTGGTAGCTTTATATTCACATCCTTCATCTTCTCCATCTGCTTCTCTTTATCATCTTTACTCATTTCCCACTTCATCTGTGAAACTTCAACATCATACTGCAAGCTTTAGCTACTGACCCTGCAAAACCAGAAAGCACCATGGATTTGGGATCTGTTTTAATTACACCCATCATCAATATGGCCATTGAAACCAAATCATCACTGGCTCCCAATATTGCAGTATGAAGTCACTGAACCCTTTGAGAGGAGTCGATCTTATCAGTTTCTTTGTTTGGAGTTTGGATGTTATGTTTAGGATCATCTTCGTTAATTAACCTTAGCACTGATAAGAAGACATCATGGCTTTTTCTTTTAATAAATTTTTTGGGAAAATAATTAACGTTTGGAGGTAGTATAAGCTTGTTTTGTCTTCTCTACTCCTATCTTTCACTATAAATTAGATCTCGTAAGAATTGGAAGTAGTATTACTTTTCGGGCAAATCAATTTGCAAGGTAAATCAGTCGAGATTTGAATCAATGGCAAGGATGATATGGAACAATCCTTGGTTGTGTTGGTCCGTTGTGCTAGAATTCCCTGTCTTCAAGCAGGAGATTTTTTCGTTTTGCCAACGCGCAGGATAATCCTATCTTTTGTTTTTTGTTTTCAACCGGAAGAAATATCAATTTAAAAAACACCAACAAAGAGATTCAACAAAACCCAAAACGCAACAGGTACTGGAGCCCAAACAACAAAGACCCTAAGCCCAAAAAAACACCATCAGCACAAACCCTAACAGTAAGCCACACTTAGGACTAGAGTTGGTAATACAGGTTGGTGGTGCAGATACGGACCAGCCTGTGGCAGAGTAAGCTAGAAGCTGTGCGGGCTACTCTAGCCCGCACCTTGGCATGCCAACCCGAGCCTGCCATTTTCAGCTCTACTTAGAGCCACCTTAGTCACCGCCATTGTTGTTGCGGCCAGAAAATGCAAAGAAACACCTCAGCGGGAGAATCCTATCTAGTCTAATTTATTTAATATGATTAAAATTAAATTAATAAATTTATTTGTTCTTTTTTGCGTTTTGAGTGTGCCCTTTTTTTTTTCAATTGTAAACTCTCTAGATACTGCTTCTAGTTCTTAATATAAAAACTAGCTTGATATTCAATTTGGTCATAAATATAATATCTAATTTATTTTATCTCTAATATTTATTTATTTTGTTCTCAAGTAATCTCTATAATAATTGCAAATGCTAAGGAATTATTATTAATGGGTAATTCAAATACATATGGCTAATAAGGATATTTTAAGAAAAACAACATTAATTTAAATACACTTAAGTAACTTTTTTTATTCTTTTCTAATTAGTCAGCTAAATCTTATATTATTTTGTGTTTATGTTACCAATAAAGCTATTGCAAGGATTTGGAAGCAAGTCCTCAGCTTAACTCATTTTAAAAGGATAATTATTGAAAAACCTTTGAAGAAAATCATGGTCTACAGAAAAGTTTTGGGGGTCTATTGTAATGCAAGAACCATTACCCTGAATTAACCTCATCAAAAAACATAAGGAAGGAGTTGGAGGACAAGAGTGCCATCCAGCGCAAGCGGTTTTGGCATTTTAATGTTTATCCATCACTTCAAATTTAAATTTACATGCCCGGTCCAAAAAATAAATAAATAAATAAATTTACACATGTGACCCAAAGTCAATGTAGAGAGAAACAGGTAAAACGTCTTTGAGGTCATGTGAGGTGGGCCCACGCGTTTCCTTTATTACATCTCAATTTCTCCTACATGGTCTGGCCCCACACGTCGTTTCAAGGCCGAAAAAGGAGGTAAAAAAGCCCCACACGTTTTTAATTCTCAACCATTGAAGAACCAAACTTCCTCTTTAAGTAAATGGTTTAATCGATGAAATTTTCTTTAAGAAAGCAATTGAATATTCGATGGTATCATAGAACGTAACAACGTAACCATATAACAACGAAATTCTTTATCCAAAGGAAAAAAGAATATGACAACGAAATTCCCAAAAATTACTAGTGAGCGGATATCGTTCATTAGAGCCTCTGATTCAGAGGGAGAAGAATACCATCGGAGGGAGGACCCAACTTTTAAGTCTTCTCCCAAACTTCACAGTTAATGTTTGGTGGACCCACGCGCTTTTTTTGTACCCTTCAGGTCCTGCGAGCCACTCGTTTCGATCTATCTTATCTTATATCCTTGAGGCTTGAACGTCTTGTGCATCAAATTTTGCTTCTGTTATTGTTTCCGTGTTCTTGTGTTGATCGTGCAGACTCCATGGCAGATAGCGTAGTTAGTTTTGCGCTGGAAAACCTGTCTCGGCTTGTGACACACGAAGCCAACTTGCTGCATGGGGTGGAGGACAAAGTGAGGTCCCTTGAGAGTGAGCTCAGAATGATGAATGTCTTCCTTAAGAGCTACAACCAAAACCAGCGCAAGAAGGAGACCGAACAAGAGCTTATTCGTCAAATCACAGAAGTCGCACATGAAGCTGAGGATGTCATCGACACCTTTGTTGCCAACGTTGCCCAGCATCAAAGGAGAAATTGGTTGTCGAGGATGCTCCATGTTGTTGACCATGCAAGGCTGCGACACGACGTGGCAGAGAAAATAGACAACATCAAAGCCAGAATCAATGAGATTCATGAGAACAAAATCAAATACGTCATCCAAGAAGCAGCAGGATCTTCAACAGAGCAGGAGTTACAGCTACTGCACAAGCGAAGAAGGGACGTGGAGGAAGATGACGTGGTGGGTTTTCAGCATGACTCAGATGAAGTAATCAATCGCCTCGAGCAGGGGGGTTCGCGTCGCAATGTGGTGTCCATCATAGGTATGGGCGGCTTAGGTAAAACTACTCTTGCCCGCAAGATTTATAAGAGCGATCATGTTAAGAATTACTTTGAGTATCATGCTTGGGTTTATGTGTCTAATGACTATAGACCTAGAGAGCTTTTGCATGCCCTTCTTAAACGCTTGATGTCAATCTCTACAAATGCATGTCATTACAATCACAATATAAGTAGCAAACACAGAAAGAAATCAAAGTGGGCAGGTAAAGCTGAATGTGATGATTTTTATAGTTTGAGTGAGGAAGAATTAAGAGACAAGGTACGAGACTGTTTGAAAGGGAAGAGGTATCTTGTAGTGTTGGATGACATATGGAAAACTCAACATTGGGATGACCTAAATTGCGTTTTTCCGGATGATAATAAAAGTAGTAGGGTCCTTATTACCAGTCGTTTGAAAGAGGTGGCTTCTCATGCCAGCTCATCTCCTCCCTACTATCTCCCTTTTCTTAATCAAAAAGAAAGTTGGGAGCTTTTCTCAAAGAGGGTGTTTCGAGGAGAGGGTGTGCCTTCTAATCTCAAGCCACTAGGTGAGCGTATGGTAAAAAGTTGTGGTGGCTTGCCAATATCTATTGTGGTCCTTGCAGGAATTCTAGCAAACAGAGAAAAGTCATACCGAGAATGGTCCAAGATTATGGACCATGTCAACTCGTATCTCACTGGACCAGAAACACAAGTACAAGATATAGTATTGAAACTTAGTTATGATAGCTTGCCTCCAAGATTGAAGCAATGCTTTCTATATTTTGGTATGTTTCCCGAAGACTATGAGATTCGTGTTAGACAATTGATCCAACTATGGGTTGCCGAAGGATTCATTCTTCATAGTGATTCCAGAATTACAGAGGATGTTGCTGAGAACTACTTGGATGAGCTCATTGATCGTAGCTTAATCCAGGTAGGGAGACAAAGAAGTGATGGGGGCATCAAGACGTGTCGGATCCATGATTTGCTAAGAGAACTTTGCATATCTGAGAGCATGGAGGAGAAGCTTTTTGAAGTTTGTAGGGATGCAGACATTTCAGAGCCAAGCAAGCCTCGTAGGCTCTCCATTCAATGTAATATGTCTGATTATTTTGCTTCAAGCAACAAAGACCATTCAGGCACTCGTTCTATGCTCTGCTTTGGCCACAACTCCCACTGCCTTTTTGATTCAAGTGAGTCAAAAAGGTTTTTCAAATGGTTACAACTTGTTCGAGTGTTGGATCTAGCAAGTTCCATCCAGCATAAGATCCCTGCCAATTTAGGCATGTTAATTCATCTAAGGTACTTAAAAATAGAACTAGACCACCAAAATGTTTCTGGTGGGGGTTTTCTAAGAGCGATTCCTGAATTCATATGCAATCTTTGGAATCTAGAAACTTTGGACTTAGGGCGTTGGCCAATATATTACTGCGAGGTGTCCTTTCCCATTGGAATTTGGAAGCTCAAGAGACTAAGGCATCTTCACACCCCTGCATTTATGATTTTACCAGAGTTTCCTGATGTGAAAGGCCAAACCATGCGGAATCTACAGACTCTATCTCCTGTTGCCATAAACAAAAAGTCAGCTATTATGTCTCTAATAGGGAAAGGCGTATTCCCAAAACTGAGGAGATTGGGTTTGCGTTTTTCTGAGGATGACATGCATCAACAAGGGGCTGGTAAAGTGTGGGAAAACCTTGCAAAACTAAATTATTTGAATGCATTGAAGATTTTTGACTTTCCTGATATTCCATCATCCGTCAATGCCTTTCCTTCCAACCTTACCGAGCTAACAATCTCAGGCACCAACTTAAATAGTGATGTCATGAGCATTTTGGGAAGTCTTGCGAATCTCAGAATTTTGAAACTATATCTTTGTAAGGTTACAGATGGGTATGAGTCGGAGCTTCGTTGCATTAGTGGGTTCCCTCAACTAGAGGTATTTAAAATGAAATGTTTCGATAACGTCAGTCACTGGGAATTAGGCAGTGTTGCCATGCCATGTCTTAGATGTTTGATCATTGAAAATTGCACGGGGTTGACAACCCTCCCTCACCAGCTCTGGTCCCTGACTTCCTTACGGGAGGTACAAGTGAGACGGCCCTCCGACTCATTGAGGATGCAACTCCAAAGTCGATCCATGAGAGATGGGTGCAATCTCTTCATCAGTTGGCTGTGAACTTTTGGGGATACACGTCATTATTTACCCACAAAACAATAAAAGAGAAAACATCTGTCTCAAGGAGCCCTATTTGAAGGTTTTCAATAGTATTTATGTCATTTCATTTGCAAAGAAATTGTAATCTTTCACTTCCAAGTCCTGCAGTGTGTGCGTTTCTTTGTGCGAGTTTGAACATTTTGGTTATTGATGAAGTGATTCATTTATTTGTAGGTTCATTTCTTGATGCTTTTAAGGTTATTCTATCAATCAAATGATGTAGGATTGGGAATATTGTTTCGAAGTTCTTCACTCTGACTTTCTCAAAGGACAATAACAGAGTTATTTTAAAATAAATGAAGCTAACTACTATCTCAATACATCTTTGACAATAAAATATCCAAAAAGCAGTGTCTGTATGCAGGAAAAAAAATTGTTCAGAATCAGAATATCTTGCTAAAGGAATATGGATTTATGCAAAAACGGGAGTGTGTGTCACGACATGATCAATAATCATCTCAAACAATATTTTATACAGAAACACAATCATAAACCAAAGTCCTATTATATTCTTTTTTGTTATTAATCAACGCCTTAAATCAATAGGATGTTTTTTTTTTGTTTTTTTGGCAATTTAAGAATCAAAGAATATGTATTAATTGCATCTATTTTTTATAAAAACGGAAAGATTTTGGTGAATATTCCTTAATCTGATAAGATTAATATTTTAAAAAACTTCGAAAGAAAAAAAGGAAAAATGCTAAGAATTATTTTTTATTTTTGTGGAATCAAGATTATGACTAGTGAAGATCCAAGGCTTAAAAGCATTTATTCAAACTGTAAATAAAAATGCTTATCTGTTGAGGTTTACTTTGAATCTTGTGGCTTCGGCCACATGAATTGAATACATCTGTTTTTTTGCCCACAGATAGGGAGGAAAAGGCAAGAAAAGAGAAATCATATATACTCCTTCAATATTTAATATAAGATCTATTTAACTAACTTTATTAAATTAAGAAAGTTAGGTAAGTTAGTTAATTATAAGAAATACGACATATTTTTTGTAAAATATCATAATCATCTTTCTTAATTTCCTCCCTCTTTATTCTACTTGATTATGGTTGAAGGAGTATCCATAGGAGTAATTTAAGAAAATTGATAAATATGAGAAATATGTCTTATATTTAGAATCAAAATCAACTCAACAATTAGGTCATATATTAAGGTCTAGAGGAGTATAATATACCACTTCCTGTTTTTAATATAAAAGCTAGTCTCACTTTTAATTTGGTTTTAAATATAATATTCCAATCTACTTTGTCTCTCATATTAATATATTTTTTTTCAAAGTAGTTCTTGTAGCAGTTGCACATATTAAAAGTTTCATTAAATGGTAATCTAACTAATACATGTGATTTAGGGAAGATAATACCTATTTATTATAAATAACTAATTTAACAAACTTTTTTAATTTACTTACTCAAATTAGTCAACCAAATTGTATCATTCTTGCCTTTGCTCTTAAGTTGTCTTATATAAGGAACTTTGAGAACCTATTTAACCTCATACAGCGAAATAGAGCAAATAAATTCACCCGTAAGCTTCAATCCACAAAAAAGCAAGTAACTTGGTTAACCCAAACACAACAGCTCCCACATATCCATACACTATCAAAGCCAATGAAGCCTCCTCCTCCTTCCTCCTCCGCATCTCTTCGTCAACACAGCAATTAAAACCAAACCTTCTTTGGCTCCCAATATTGCCGCATGAAGCCGCTGACCCCTTTGAGAGAAGTTGACCTAATCAGTTTCTTCGTTTAGGATCATCTTCATTTCATTGGCATGGAGGGATACTGAGCCATGGGGTTAAAATAGAAGACATGGGAGATAAGAAGAAGGAGAAGCAATGAAGAGCAAGAAAGCCGAAGAAAGATGGAGTCCTGCTCAGCACACCCTGTAAACGACAATAATTTATAACATGTTTTTCAACAACATAAGAAGATTTATTCATTAATGTTTTTAACTGGATAATCTATATATAATTGAAGAAATATGTATATAGATACAACAATAATAAAAAAGGGGAAGGAATTAGAAAGATGAATGATGAGCCAGAAGGCGCAAGAGAAAAAGATGCCAATGGCACAAACGACACCCAAAGCCGGGCGAGCGATGTCGTTGTGGAGTGCCACGTGGGCATGGGATGATGACGTAGATTCAAGTGGGAGGGGAAGATGTGAGCACGTGGACCTTTGACGAAAGTCATCACCATTGCTCCTCCTATTCCAACTGTCGTTCCTACCATCTTCGCCCACCCTGCTGCTTCTCCCCAGAGTTTAAAAAAAGTGAAAATAAAAATATTGCTCAACACGTTGAAAGAAGATTCATGTTATATACGTACTCCTCGTGTCCTTAACATAGGAACTTATCGTTGAGTTGAGTTAATTGTGATTCTAAATATAAGATATAATTTTCATATTTATTAATTTTTTCTAAATTACTCATATTGATACTCATTCAACCATAATCAAGTGGGAGAGATGGGAGATATTAAGGAAAATGATTATAATGTTTTAAAAAAACATGTTATACTCCTCCGGTCTTTAATATAAAATCTAATTCTTGAGTTAGTTTTGGTCCTAAATATAAAACCCATTTTTCATATTTATCAATTTTTTCTAAATTACCCCTATGGATACTCCCTCAATCATAATCAAGTGAAAGAGGTAGATGGGGTATTAAGAAAGATGATTATGGTATTTTAAGAAAAATATCACTTTTCTTATAATTAACTAACTTACCTAACTTTCTTAATCTAATCAAATTAGTTAAATGGATCTTATTATATTAAGGATCAGAGGAGTATTTCTTATAATTAATTAATTTATCTAACTTCTTTAATCCAATCAAATTAGGTAAATGGGTTTTATATTAAGTAGCGGAGGAGTGTGTGTGTGTCTGTCTATATATATATATATAAATATATAAGATTTTACCTAAAGAAAGGGGACCGTGAGAAAGGTAATGGCGGGGATGAGACTGAGGGAGGCAGAAACAAATGTTGCTGAAGTTAAAACCAGGCTCTCCAATTGTAACCCCTGAAATATCGTTCCCCTGCATCCCTATTTCTTAATTAGTCTTACTAATCCCTATATTTTGTGAATCCACTTGTTTCTTTTAAAATAGTTTTTTCCTTTTCTAAGTCAATAAAAAAAATTGATCCTGAAAACTGACTTTTATTTTGCTCGAAAACTTACCCAAATAATCCACATATAAATGTCATGAAAAATACCTTCCAACTCAGTTTTGGTTTCCTGTCATAACCAAAAAATAAATAAATAAATAAATAATTACATTAACAAAGTGATTACAAGAATCACAACAACAACAAAAACCAAATTTCAAATATACTCCTCAAATTTCAAATATATTCCTCTTGTCCCTAATTAGATAGTTTTGATTCTAATTGTAAAACCTTAATTTATTGTAGGCTAAAGTATACTTTTAGTCCTTTAATTTTGCACAGAGTTTCATTTTAGTCCCTTAATTTTAAAAAGTAAATTTTTAGTTCTCTACACCTAAAACCATTAATAAAAATTATAATATTGAGCTTTTGAATACTGATAAAACATGACTAAATACTAACGTATGAAATTTAATATTCAAAACAACCATAATTGTTATTAAAAAAATCATCATTTAAGACTAATAATTTTGAAATTAAAGAACTAAAAATATACTTTTTAAAGTTAAAGGACCAAAGTAAAATCTTACATAAAATTAAAAGATTAAATGTATGCTTTAGTTTTTATTTTATCTTTCATATTTATTATTTTCTCTTTAAATTAATTTGCCTGGCTTATAAATGTATGTATAATCTAATATTATGTATGGGTATTTTAAAAAGATAATGTCATGTTTATTAAAATTAAATAATTTATTTAACATTTTTTATCTATCCAACTTAGTTGAACCTAAGAGGGTATAATTTTATTTAATTTGTGCATGTTATTCTCTTTGTTTATTGAGAAGAGAATTGAAAGATTTTGACCAAAAAAAAAACAGAGGAGAGAATTGAAAGGCGAGATTATGATGTGTGACCTGTCAGTGAGGAGAGAGAGAGGAAGCAGGAAGGCGGTGGAGAGGATGAAACGATAAGCATGGAGCCCAACCAAGTTCATGCCATCTTCAGTGACGATCTTGCACAGAATCGCCGCCGCAGCAAACGATGCCGTAACCGCCGTAACCGCCGTCACCGCCGTCATTGTCAGCGGCACCTTCATCTCGTTCACCACATTCCTCACTTTCTTCATCCTTTCTCTTTCCATCATCGATCATCATCTGCCACACACCGTCCACATAATGATGCATGTGTAAGTTTATCAGACGTCCGTCGGCTTATAGATGTATAGAGAGAGAGAGTACTCAAAATATTTATCTACGACTCCGACCTTGTTGATGATGGCTGGCTTCAATGAATATACCACTCTATTCTTTATTATAAGTTACTTGTATCTCAAATCGCAAACTAAAAAATATTAAATTAACCATTTTTCTCATTTATCCTTATTAAATAAAGATATTTAAAAATGTGTTTTACGTGGTATTGTCTTAGATATTCGAACAGACTGCATAGGAAATTAAAAGTTGAGAAAAAGATGGAGAAGGAGAGGGAGAGGGAAATGGACGTGTTTTGAGGAGCCATTGCTTCAAACTTAAATTAGTTAATTTTTTATTAAATTAATAGGGGTAAAATTGGGCAAAGATCATTAATTATACTACAAGTAACTTATATTTTGAAACAAACTTTTGGGATACAAGTGACCTATAATAAAAAACTGAGTGGTACTCATTGTCGCTTAAATATTTTTGTTCACATATTTTAAGTTTTCATAAATAAATTTCTGAAAAGATAAAATTTTAAACACACACGTACATACATAATGTCCCAAATTTTGGTTTGCAATCTTTTCGGAAGATCGAACTGCTCACTGTTAAAAAAAAAAAAAACAACAATCATATAAAATTCACATATAGTGATCATATACTAATGTCTTATGAAAGTTGGGTATAGCGGAAATGCCTAATCTATTATAATGTGGTAATTCCCATTACAAAAAAAGTACTCCTCCGGTCCTTAATATAAGACCCAATTAGTGAGTTGGTTTTGATCCTAAATATAAGACCCATTTCTCATATTTATCAATTTTCTCTAAATTACCCCTATAGATATTTCCTCAACTATAATCAATAGAAGAGAGAGAGGAGTATTAAGAAAGATGATTATGGTATTTTAGGAAAAATG